ACTACTCGTACAAAACGCTCCTTACGTGTTCCTGTTTGTGGCTCATCTCATTGTGCCGAATGCATTCCATCTTCCAATTTGCATGGCGGCAACGTCTACAGAAATGTTGTCTCTGTGGTATGTGATAATGGCGTAGCAGCGTTTGCACCAACTACAATGTGCAACACGGCTAATCGCAAGTCGCGTTCCACTCCAACTGGTGCCCACCATCATCACCAGACAAGCCTTTGGTATGAATGTAGTTATGTGGCACTAAGCTGGTTTGTTTTAGCCCTTTCCTGTACCAGCTCATAGCACTTTGCATGCCACCGACTTGTTGCTATGCATCTCTGCGATTTCATTTCAGTCTCAATTCTCTCAAAATACTCGGCATACTTCGCCTTTAGCTTTTAGCGGCAATTAGCACAAATTAGTTGCATTTTTGCAATGTTGTCATGTTGGGTATTATTTAACACAGCAATAACTAGTTACGCGGAAAATAGAAGAACTAAAGATTTCATTAGAAAACACTAAATAAGCTAAAGAATTTAACTGCAAATCGCACTCCCGCAGCTCAAGCTCTAAATCTTCCGTTACTCTCGCAAAACTCGAAAGGAAGTGAAAAGTGTGCCATCGATAATATATTCCGAACGTAAACACTTTCATCAACTAATTATTATTCTGCAGTCACTCGAGGCAGTTATTAAAAAACGATCGCTTTTCTCAGCCACTTATTGCCAGCATCGCTTCGTGCTCCTTCTTGCACTTTTTTGTTCGCAATAAATAATCAAGTGAAAGGCCAAGAAAATGGCGAACTTCGAATGTCCACATGCAACATGCGGCCGCATCAGCATCGTCTGCAGTTAGCCGCTTCAACGTAGAGAGCACCCACACATGAATGTATCTATGTAAACACTCTACAAGTTTCGAAAAAAGCGAAGAGAAGAAAAAAGTGTTTAATGTGCCCCAGAAACCCAGTGAAACCCAACAACGCAACAGCCTCGCTGGCTGCTCATCGTCAATTGTCAACTTGAAACCGCAGCCACCAACGCCATGAGACCCACTCGACGGTATCGAGTGGCGGGAACACACACAGATAGCCAGCCAATCGGACGGACCTCGCCTCCGCTGTGCCCTGTCTGCGCTTACAACAGTCCACGAAAGCTTTGTTGTAAAGCTGCACAGCTCCACAGCTGCTCCTCTAGCTGCTGTTGCTGTTGTTGTTGCTGTTGATATGCAATGTTGCAAAACCCGAAACGGGCGCTTCCTGCTTCAGCCTACCACTGAAGTTTCAGCATCCAACTGCAACTTCCCACTGCATGTGTGCGCATTTTTATGTTTGGCCGTCCAGCTGGCAGCGAGCAGCGAGCAGCCACAGCCAGCGCAGCATAATGGGTTCAAGGTAAATTGTATTCGCCACTGTGTCCGTCTTGCCTGACAGTCGCTGTAAGTAACTCTTTTCGGTTGTCCGTCCGTTCGTCCGTCCATAAAGTTTGTCTGCTTTCAAAAGCCAAGAGAACGGAAAGTGAAATTTAGCCATTCAAAGTGGCGTACTGGCTAAGTGGCATGCTGCAGCGATGGCGTGCACATTGAAACGTGCATGTGTGTGTGTGTGTGTTGATCTTTTATCGCCAACTTTCGACAGTTCTGGCAAATTTCTTCGCCGTTCCTTAAACCATAAAATCAAAATAAAAAAATCGAATAGAAACAGGCGAGGCAAGCAAATGCGTCCAGAGAAGAGGCGGCCGTGAAGTCAGAGGAGCGTAGAGTTTATGCATAAACGAAAAACGAGAACAAAAAACCAACAGTCAATGCAATAAATACGAGTACGCAAGAGTTGGTTGCCATTGACTTTCATCAAAACAAAGAAACTAAAATAAACTAATAAAAACAAAAAAAAATTTGCCAGCGCCATAACAGCAAACATTCACCAAATAATACCTGCGGGCTATGAACAATAAATCTATTTTTGTTGCACACTTTCTAACTTTACCGGCCAGACGCATTGCATTGGCTGTTTCATAGAAAATGCTGCGTTAATCATTAAAATAATCAAAGCTGATTGCGTTTAGCACTCGTCGCTAAGTGGGCATGGTCATTCATCCACTCACTCAGCTGTACACAAAGTGCATTGAATCATTGCTATTTGCGGCTGCACAAGCCATTCGTTCTCCATTCTACGCTTGCTTATCTAATGCCTTTTAGCTTTCACATCGCAAACCATAACTTTTATTTACACATTTAGTATACGAAATGTAATCTTACTCGTTATGTGTGTATGTTTGTAGATACACGAGTATTAGAATGAGAAAATTCGCAATATTCCTTAACTTGATCTTTTTGCGCAGTTTGGTAAACAAATTCTTATCAGTAGATAAACAAGCTACCCCACAATCTACATTCCTTCTATTCTACATACATATGTTTGTAGTTACTTTTGATCATCGTTCGTGCATTCATACAGTCACGAATGTGCGAGTATTAATTTACGAAAACCACAAAGCATTTGTTGATTGATTGTGGCGACGATGACGGTTGCAGTGACTGTTTCTGGCAATGATGGTGGCCATACTGTCTAACGCCATTCATTTGATACTCAAATGTGAAGTGGCCTTCGTATTCTTAGAATTCATGAGTTTGCGTGTTTGTCAATACATGTATGTATGTATGTATGTTTGAGTATATGTGAGCAACATTGCAAGCAAGCTGTCAAATGCAGATTCCAGGAAAAACTATATGTACGAGTACATATACAATAGCTCACAAAATAATTTTCTTCTTCCTATTTGGCGCTGTAACCGCCCCGGCGATTTTGGCCGAGTTCAACAAAGCCAACTGACGCTAAGTGGAAAAGCCAAGTGAGCCAAGTCCTTCTCCACTTGGCCTTTCCAATGCAGTGGGGGCCTCCCTCTTCCTGTGCTACCACCAGCGGGCTCCGAGTTGATAACTTACAGAAGAGCGTCGGGTGGCGAATGCATTGGCTGTCTGTTGTAACTGCAGCTTTGCGAAGTTAAGCTTTACTTGAATTTTTGGGCGCACATTTTTTGCTGCACAGAGGCGGGTGCCTATCTTGGCTGCAACAAGATAGTGGTCCGAGTCGATGTCTGGACTGGAAGCGGGCCTTCCGTCTAAGACGACATGATCTGGAGACAACCATGTACTACCATGTTTCGGACCCCGGCAAAGTCGATTAGCCTCAGTCCGTTATCGGACGTTTCGTCGTAGAGGCTCAATTTTCCGACGGTGGTTCCAAAGATCCCTTCCTTGACCACCCTGGCATTGAAGTCGCTCGTATGTGCGCTCCAAGCGCTCATAGAAAAGATCATTGGACGCATCATCCTTCTCTTCGGTCGGGGCATGGACGCAGATTAGTGAGATGTTGAAGAATTTCGCTTTGATGCGGATTGTGGCTAGAGTCTCTTTCCCACCACAAACGCCCCTTTACATGGCAGCTGTAGTAGACGTTGCAAGGTCCCAGACATTTTTTGCCATTGACATTATTGCACGCCATCTCAAATTTGTATGCTTCTTCTGGTCGACTCTCGGTGCTGACAACACAGTGCATGAATCACGTATGGCGTCAATCGTCTGGACGATGTCATGAACACCGAAAATTGTTTGATCGTTTGTGCGATATCGTCAACTCGATTCCAATTTGGTTCGCGTAAGAGTAGGAGGAACATGTAGCAGCAAGAAAAATCCCTGAATCATTGTTTTGACGACATCGCTTTGTCAGTATCGTTTGAACGACTGTCATTTCAAAGTTACGTGATTCATCCAATAGAAACTCAATGCGCTACGACTTCACAATGCCTTCGATTGTTACAGTCGTAGTTGTTCCGAGGACGACGCGGTCGAACCTAACCTAGGCTTTGGGAACTTAAATCACTCGCGTTGTTTCGGGTTCTTTTGCTGACAGTTACTTCTATCTTAGCCGAAATCTATTTAAAGGCTGCTTGACGTACTTAAAAGACAAATTCCCTTTCAAAGAGAAGAATGTCGAAACAACTTTAGCAAAGTGAAGTATTGCAGCATTTACTCGAAGAGATACTCGTATTTAACTATATACATATATATGTATATGCAGATTTCAATACATAACAAATATTTTTCTTATTTATTTTTATTAGCTATGATTTGATGCAAAAGTTATAAATGAAATGTACGCCAGGTGAGCATCTGCAGCATTTACGTTAGCAAATGACTTCATAGATACTCCCGAAGTTACATTGCGCATTGCGCTTTGCATTTAACTTGGCGAATTGAAAGGTGTCTACACCACATGTTTGTGAGTAATCACGCCAACAACAACTAGTTTTGGCATTGTTTTCACAAAACAAAAACAAAAAAAATAAAAAATAAATTCATACAGACATTTGAGTGAAGTGTGGGTGAGTAATGACTGCTCTTAATTAAACAATTCTAATAAAGCACTTTATTCATTGCTTCTACAGACAGAGTTTTTCTTGTTGTTTATTGTTGTTGTTAACCACAAATGACTTAATCTCAAAGAAAAGTTGTAGGTGTGAAACTTACAAAGCTCAAATAACACAACACCTTCTACTCGAATGCCACTCATTGAATGCTCATTTGTGAGGAAATTTTTACAAGCAATTGCAATAATATTTACATAAAAATATTAAATAATTCATAACAATGCGCATTGGGTGCTCAAGTTTCACCAATGTTGCTCAAGTGCGCAACTGGCATACTTCGCTCTGCATAAGCCACTTTTGTCCACTTAAATTAAATTTAAATTTCTCGACAGCGAACTCACCTAGAATTAAGGCCTTCAATTTCTTCCGCTTGTTCGGCAAGCGAGGACTCCAAATCCAAATAGGCGCCATAGTCACCATCTTTGTACACCTGTATGGCTGCGTCGTCGATCTGCAATGAAGAGTGGAAAAGAGAGAGAGAGAGAGAGAGAGAGAGAAGAAAATTGATCGATTAGTACCAGGAATGTAGTTAATGGAGCGAAGAGATAAGAAAATCTATGTACTAATGCACTCGCAAGCAGATGCAGTGCCAGCAGCGTAAAGAAGAAAATGCTTATAAATAATAAAATAAATCAACTGCCATTCTCCTCAACGCGTTGATGCGTTAATTACGACTACGATTCGACGACGAAAGTAAGTTATAGACTGGTTTTTGCCTAAGAAGATTGCTGGTTATTCTGCGCATATTTGTTGCAGACAGACAGACATCCTTTAGAAGACGATCATTGGTCAACCGGTGGTCTGTGGCTAGTGGCTGGTGGCTGGTGGCTGGTCGGGGCCGCTGGCAATGCCATTCACATTCACATTCGCATTCTCATTAAGTAAAAGTGGCGCAAGTGCCAGTGGCCGAGAGTCTGTCGTAAGTTGGTAGCACAGCTGGTCGCAAAAGCGAACATAAATTTCATCGCCACTTTGTGCATACATATCTAAATACATGCACGTCCATCGTCCATGCATCGATTGCTGGCTGATTAGCTAGTCAGTCCATTGTGTTTTATGGAATGTTTGCAGCGTCATGCTGGCGTGGACTGGCGCACGATTGATGTAATGTTGCCACCGGCCGCTGCTGCGATGGTTGTGCACGCATTTTGAAAATCATGTCTGCTGCTGCTGCGGCGGTTGCATGCCACAGCCACTTTTATGATGCAGCTGCTGGCTTTGCTGCTGCCCCAATCACTAGATTCGCATTGAAAGCTTTGCTTCATCGATTCTACAGATGGCTGGCAGCTCACTCACGGCTTGTCGATTGTTGATGAAGCTTAATGATGATGGGTCACCTACTTTTCTCTTCTGCTGATGCAGCGTTTCGTCGTGCATTGCATTTTTAATTGAAGACATCAATTAATTGCAGGAGAAATGAGAATTGCTGACACGTTTCTTCGTTGCCTATCGCCAGCTTGACTGACTGCTGCCCTGCAGCCACAACTGCTGCATAGTGCCAGCTTCGTGGCAAAAGGCTTTGATTTCTCGATTGGAAATTCTTGCCTTTCCTTTCATTTTTGTTCGTATGTATGTATATACAATATTTAAACACAATAAGTTTGCACTGCTTCTATCTGAAGCTTCTCTTTTCTTGCATTTATTTCAATTCACTACTTCACTTATGTACGCCTTTGTATCAGCGTTGCTTTGCTGGTGCCTGCTGCTGCTGATGGGCAGCCGTTAAAACTAATGCTGATTGCCACATTTTTATTTGCAGTACTACATACAGCAGAATAATCGCTTAGTTGCAGTACAAATTACTAACAACGCTTGGCGATCCGTTGCAATGAGGCGCGACTTTACAACTTTAATGTGTGAAAAATTCTGACCATTAGGTGGATATTTTCATGGTGCATACTCCAGATTACGTGCATGACGGCATTCCACATGCCAACATACATACATATATACATACATATGTGCAACACTTGTTTCAGTACATTCGATTGCACTACGAAAAAATTTAATAAATCGGAGGGGAAAAGCTGTAATGGTTCGGTGCCTTCGGTAGCTCAGTGAATAAAAAGAACGGTTTGTTTTGTTCTAGCCAAAGTGTTGGGCAGCACCATTAAGCCAGTTTAGAGGTGCTAATGTGCTCTAATGAACTAACTACTCGCTCCATTATTAATGTACTAAAAACTATAGCAATAAAACTTGAAGGTCACTAACTTTTAAAGTGGAGAAGGGTATGTAAGTAAATACATATGTGATATAATTCTAGTGCTCGGATAGCTAAGATGTATTTTGCTGTTTTGATTTTATTTCCAATGAGTTGTAATTCTGATAAAGAGTATCTTTATGAAACACATCCAAGTTGTAGTTATCTCATTTTCTACCATCATATCCGGTTCTGAAATTAAAAATGAATCTACTAAAATCAAGTTGGAGTTGAGAATAGATCACATGCCGCGAAAGCTCCCACAGAGATCTTAAGAACCCTTGATTTTAAAGTTTTCGTCATATCGAGTCCGCCATTTTTAATTTTTCCAACCTGACCTCAGATTCGTAATAAGAAGCCCAAGAGCCCCAGAGGAAAACATATCAATCGGACCGAATCGAATCCGCCGGAATTGGACTCTCCATGATGAGTTTTTAAAATCATGCTCTATGTTCGTAATCGGCAACCTCAAAAACAAAAGAATGGTCACACTGTTTTCAATAGGAGACGTCTATGTGATAATTTTAAGACCCTAATCTTTGTAATCCGTCCTATAGAATTTTGGCCATCGTACTGTACTAGTTGACGTGATGTGGAATTGAGTTTTACTCCGCTTTCCTTACATCGCTATGTTTGGCACGTTCCCGGCCGTGATCTAAGCGTCTTACAAAAAATTACAGTTTTTGCTAGTTGTTTACAATAAAAAATGTTTTTTTTTTCAACCTTCTATACGAAACATGTCGGAAATTAAATTCTCTACAAACTTGATTGAACTATTTTTTACGAAAAATGCAAAATAAACTTGCAAATCGCAAAAAAACATAACCAAAAAACCTAAAACCGAAGATGGAGGAATGTTGCCGTATGAAATTGGCAAGGCTGTGAATCCATGATCTACGTGCCAAATAGAAGTAAACTGCATCAAAAATTCGCTACTGAAATTTTTTTTTTTAGGAAAATTCTAATTTTATTGAGCTAGAATGTTGGCATTTTATTTTATATCTAAGAAAATGCGCAACCAAAAAATAATTGCCAAAAATTAACGATAATTTGTTGCCATTTCTAACTTACACTGCATTAAACTATTTAAAATTTAAGGGGCTTTGCAATCAAAACTTCTGTATAAAAAGTGGTAAATTTTGATGTAACTGGTTTATTTTTTTTTTTCAATGAACTGTATATGTATATTTATATAAACTAAGTATTTAGAATTAGTCAGAAAAAAATGTCAAACTTATTAATACAGGGTGACCTTATCAATATGTCAGACACTATATTTTTTATTTATATTTTTATGTTTTATTACGTATTTTCTTTGCTACGCAGCATTATTGTTATTCCAACGATTGCATGCACTAAACATAGTCATATTCTACGTAACAATTAATAAAAGGACATTCGCTGTTGGCAAATAGCAAAAGGTACGATTATAATAATTCACTTGCTCTTGAACTTTGGCTGCTATGCCCCATACAAGCAAGCACTCGCCGAGCCTTCTTATACCACACCCACTTTGCATTTAGGTTGAAGGTAATTAGAATACGAAAATTATTCAACGACTAACTCATCACATTTTCTGATATAGTTAAGGCTATATTATTCAAGGCACACCCTGACTCTCCCATCAAGCAAACTACTACGCTAGAATTATAGCACATACTATGAAGGACTGCTCATAACTAAATATGTGGCCATGTACATTACCGTTATGCCGTCCCACTTATCGACTTTCTGCTTAGCTATGTATCATGTATACCAATGGGTAATTCGACCCATTTTTATGGCCAAAACTAATTACGACTAAACATTTAGATTATTAAAAAATATATATACCTATTTTTTTATTGATATACGATTTCCCTCATTTTTGCAAAAACCCTTAACCCTTGACAAGCGATATGTCAAAAAGGATAACTTTTTATTTTTATTTATTTATACTAAAGAAAAGAAATCAACTTAGTTACAAAAACAATTCATATAGTATGTAGCTAATTTAAAAATTTTGTAAAATTATATTAATTTTAATTGAAAAACCTGAAAGCTCCAAATTTCCTAATTTTTCTGCTGAAAAGTTAAAACGAGCAGCCTTTGCAGCAACAAAACTGTAAACCGCCTTTTTGGCTCTCTTAAATGAGTTCTCCTCTACAAGTAGTAAATAATTCACTACTGAAATTATAAAGAATACCTAAAAATTACCATTTTCTTCAAAAACGCGCAAACAATCGCAACAAGAAATTGACACATAAACTCAAAACTTTTCATTGTACACGTTTTTGATAGTCGAAACACGGCCAAGTAGGGTCAATATTTTAAAAGATTAATCAGATATTACTTGAAAAAACACAAAATGCAACTAAAAATTTTACGAGCAAAAATAAAACCTTTCTTATCTAATTTTTAGAATCGTGAATTACTTTATTCTCAGGTCTCACAGACATACATACATATGATAGATGGTCGTGGCGGTAATGAATCTTAGCAGGTAGCTAAGGGTTAATCGTACGCGTTGAAAACAAATATTTTTTCCTCTCCCCAGAACTCAAAGTCGTTTCCTCCTATAGAGCTACAGAAAGCATGCCGAACTGATGGACGATAGAGCAAATTACTGGCATTTTGTTAAAAAAAACTACTCCCTTATCTTGTAGCTAGATGACTGTGATGTGTTCGTAAGTGCTGGTACGATTTTGCCATCACAAAATGCAAGCAAACGTTTCCGCATTTGTTTCATACAGCTTCGCTTTTTTCACATAAATCTCACTTCTAATCTGCTTCTTCTGCTATGTACAAAAAGTCAATATGTCGTAATTAACTTCTTATTGACATTTTTTCCTACGAATGCGCTCCCCTATATGGCTATTTTACGCTTCCTGCTAATTTGCAAAAAAGGGAACCCATCTATGCAAATGCATACAACAACATATTTGCATAGCAATTGAACTTCACAAACAAACGCCAACGAAACAGCAACATTTTGCCAACATTTGCCATTTGCTGATCTCTTGTCGTTTCCTGCAAACTGCAGATGCCATAACAACAACAACACCAGTAAAAGTAGCGAAAAGCACCAGCCAAATAACCAATTTGTACTCGCCTTGACGCTCATAACTCTTCAATGCAAATGCGCTCGCGCTATTAGGCGACTGACTGTTAGAATTTATGACCGCTTCGCAAGATTTACGTATCCTTTTGTGACGCAATGTTCGATTGGAGAAGGAATGGAGGGAGGAAAATTTACGAAAGCAATTGCACAT